GATATGACCTACTTTGTCACTTTTATAATATTTTGTGTGTCCCACATACGCATCCTACTTTGTCGTCCTATAAATATTTGGAGATGCAGCTCATCCATTAGCTACACTGTGCTGATGAGACCCAAAAGGGTGAAACAGCTGTCCACAGTTGCTAAGAGCAGGACACACTAAAGTCATAGTCCGTTCATGGCTCTTTACGCTGCTTTGAAACTACGACATGTAGTACGCATGCGTATTCGAGATATGACCTACTTTGTCACTTTTATATATATATATATATATATATATATATATATATATATATATATATATATATATATATATATATATGTAGACAGTACCCCCAGTACCTACAGACAATCACGTTTCGGCATTTTTGGCCTCATCAGTGTAGTGCGAATGAGCAGAATGAAAGTAACTAGTAAAAACGAACTTTGTTGCGTTTCCTTACCATATGCTGTAATCGTTCCGGTGCTCCAGTCAGTTGTGGTACCTGCACGAGAAAAGTAAGGTTCACATTATATTTTGTTTTTGCAGAAACACGGACAAATAAACCGAATTGTATGCATTCCAACATGTATAGGTCAGAAACTATTTTTTACGGTAAATTTATATATTTGGTACGTGTTTATTGAGAAGCGTACATAAATATATATATATATATATATATATATATATATATATATATATATATATATATATATATATACACAAGTGACGGTTGAATCTTCCGTATGATGACGTTGGACTTATGCTTGAATTATACGCGTGATGGCACAGCGTGCGCACGTTCAAACTTTCCCGCGAGGAATTGCTTCCGCTGGCGGCACTTCGAGAAAAGTTCACGCCTCTTGTTCAATAGTTTTGTCTTATCACCTTTCGGGATATGCAATTTTTCCTGGAGACAAAACTATTGAACAAGAGGTGTGAACCTTTCTCGAAGTGCCGCCACCGGAAGCGATTCCTCGCGGGAAAGTTTGAACGTGCGCACGCTGTGCCATCACGCGTATAATTCAAACATAAGTCCAATGTCATCATAGGGAAGATTCAACCGTCACTTGTAACACCGTCACCTGATGATCGCACTCAGCGTGAAACTCAGAGTTGTGACTCAATTTTAAGTTAAAATACTATTTGCTTTGTTAAATTCTTGTTGTTGAGCACTCTTTTTACACTATATAATTGAAGTAATATATATATATATATATATATATATATATATATATATATATATATATATATATATATATATATATATATATATATATATATATATTAATGACTCAAGTTGTTGATTTTTTCCTCCACTTTCTTTACAAACACAATATTAAACACGATTATTTATTTTTGTGGGAGAGGGGTTCGGGGTTGTGAAGAGTCCATTTACAGTATATGACAAGCATCATGCCTACTCATATGTCACACCCTATTAGCTGCACAGATTCGGAACTGGCTGCTGATAATCTGACCAAGGTTCACTTGGACAGTCCTAACCTGACCAACTGGAGCACGAAACCCCAGTATGGACAGTCCTTACCCTGACCAATCGGAGCGCAAAACCCCTATGGACAGTCCTTAACCTGACCAAAGGCACTAAACCCATATGGCCAGTCCTTAACCTGAACATGGGGGGTAAACCCCCATGGACAGTCC